AGCCTGGAGAGGGTTCAGAGGAGGGCCACCTGCTTGGTGAGAGGGCAGCAGGACAGGCCCTATGAGGAGAGACTGAAGGACCTGAACCTGTTCAGCCTCAGCAAGAGGAGGCTGAAGGGAGACCTAGTGGCTGCCCACAAGCTCATCAGGGGAGTTCAACAGCAAATAGGCAGAGCTCTTTTCTCCCCAGCACCACCTGGGGTGACGAGGAACAATGGTCATAAGCTGATGGAGAATAGGTTTAGGTTAGAGATCAGAAGGCAATATTTGACAGTTAGGGTGGCCAGAATCTGGAACCAACTTCCCAGGGAAGTGGTCCTTGCCCCTACCTTGGGCAAATTCAAAAGGAGGTTGGATGATCACCTGTCTGGGGTCTTGTGAACTCAGCATTGATTCCTGCCTGTGGCAGGGAGTCAGGCTAGATGATCTGTTCAGGTCCCTCCTGACCCTAGCTACTATGAAACCTAGCTACTATGAAACTAATAAATGATATCACATCTACTAAAAGAACCTTGCCTGCCTGTTCCTTAGACCAACACGGCTACAACCAGAAACCTAGTTAACGCACACAAGTGACATGAGTTTTGCTTTCAACAGTTTGAGGTGCACTTTCGCAGAAGCCCCTGCACCTATCTCCTTGAAACCTGGCAGGCGTCATACCCTCTGAAGGTGCTACCATCCCTGCTGTTTTTATCTGCAAAAAAATGACAAAGTTACAGGTATTTTAGTGATTCTCCATTATAATCTATGGCTGAAACACCGAATTGGCCGATTCAGCGGCTGAATCTATGAATCCAATTCGGCCGAATTGAATGGGGACAATGACTCACATCACTGAATCGAATCACTGTCCCTCTGAATCAGCTGAATTCAAATCCAATTGAATACTTGCCGCTTCGCATAGACCTATTAGCCATGTTCGTCTGATGTCATGTAGAAGGAAAGGTAGATTTTCACCTTATAGACTAACCAAGATAGACATAGATAAATAGCAGAAGCTTACATGGGCTGAAGCTCACTTCCTCAGATGCTGAATGGATAACATCAGAGTAAAATGAATCTGTGGAGTTCAGTGAGAGAATACAAGGCCCTCCAAAGTTTTATTTTTCCCTCTGGATACATTGCTAATGTTCCCCCTGACCTCACAGAGGTGCTGTGAGCATGAGTTAAATGTGTGTGGGGGGTGGGGAATGTTCACATACTGTGGAGATGGTGAAATGAATGCAGTACAAGAGGAACACTTTCCCACATGAAAATCATTAAAAGACTCGGTTCAAATAGATTCTGATGTTACTTAGAACTTCACATGCATCAACACTACTACACATCAAAGCCACATAGATTTCATCTTCGTTAGTAATGATCTAAGTTCATCACTGAACAAGATAGGAAGCTTCAATCACACTTCTCTGTCTCTTAACACTTCCCTGTCTCCACTGCAAACACCACACATTACATCCTAATACACCTCTGAACTAGTTATTCTATAAGGTGCTAGCCTGCTTTGCCTTCTGCCTAACTTCAGCTAACTACCTCTCTCTATGTTTCCTAACATCACATTTGCCTTCCCAATAGCCATAATTGTACTGGTGTCTCTTACTCAACCAGCCATCAACTGACATACATTGACACTGTCCTGAAACCATTCGTCATTCCAAGAGCAAGTTTCCTACAAGACCCAACAGCTTTTCTCAACAAGATCCAGAATATCAACCACCTCCCTCAGAAGGCCATACTGTCAAACATGAAGGCACAGCTGTCTGCCTGAAACACCTACAGGAAAACAGACCACACAGATTCCCCTGAATTCCCTTACTGACTTCCACTGCAGGTTTAATAATTACTACCCTTCAATCAAATTCTCTCAGGAATATGCCTGCACAAATATCAACTTTCTAGACATCACAACTTAGATCTGGGAGGGCACCCTGCAAGCTGCTAATACAGATGTGACCCAGATGGTACTCAGACAAGGTACCCCCCCTCTCCAATTGAAGGGATTTAGCGAGTACTAGTATGCTGTGGGAGGGGTAGCCGCTCCCCTCATATGCCCTATAAACTAGAGTCAAGACCAGTTGGAACTTAACCATATATGGGTTTAATAGGGAAAGTGCCAGGTAACAATATGACCCACCGGGGGTGGGGGGGGAGAAGGGGGGGACAATGGGTGCAGAAGAACAAGAGGGGATTCAGTAAAGGGAAGGTACACATATACATCTAGAAGAGGAAAATCAACAACAAGCTTGAGGCACAGGGTCTCACAAAATATAAGGCACAGGTTCACAAAATATAAGAGACAGGTTAACAAAATATGAGATGCAGGTACCCTGGAGGGGCAGGAGAAAAAAAAATGAGGAACCTTCCTCCCAGGTGGGGATTCATTTTCAATCAACCCACCCCTTATGTCCCTTGGCTGGGGATTGAACCCAGGTCTCCCAAGGAACATATAGGAACACTACCACTCAGCTACCAAATGTTAGGCTACTACCTCTGGTTCTAGACCTAGTCTGTCCAGGATCCTCTGCATGCTGTCTACACACCAAACCAGCTGCCCAGCCACACACTGGAGAAAGTAAAGCCCAAGACCAAACTGCTACCCACAGCTTGGGGGCAGCTCTCTCTCACTCCAGAGAGCCCTTGCCTTCTGCCTGGGGATGTTGGGGAACCTGGGCCACCTAGCACGGGCCCAGGACCCTTTGTGTACCACTGGGGATTCCCTGCATGCCTCCCTATGTGCCAAGCCTGGGGATTCTCCACATACCGCCCTGCATACCAAGGGGAGATGCCCTCTGCAGCTCCTACCTGAGTCCCAGCTGGGAGGTTTTCTTCATGTTGTCCTGCATGCCAAGCTCCCTGCTTCCCTGCTGGGAGTCGGATACCTGAGCTGCTGCCCCACCACACGCCGCCTGCGTGCCAAGCTCCTGGCTTCCCTGCCAGGGTTTCATGCCTCAGCCACTGCCTGCAGCTCAGGGCTTGGATCCCCGCTGCACACTGTCTGTGCGCCAAGCTCCCGGCTTCTCTGCTGGGGGGGTCGGATGCCTGAGCTGCCGCCTGTGGCTTGGGGCTTTGGTCCCAGCAGTGGATCTACCTTGCATGCCATCCCATGTGCCACTGCCACCACTGCCTGCAGCTCAGCGCCTCAACCAGCTTCAGGGCTCTTCTGGGGCAACTGCTCCATCCCTGTGGGTCAGCTCTCACCAGCTCTTCAGGGACCTCTTCTTCATTTCTTGGTGATCTCTCCTCTCCAGGGCCAAGCACGCTGCCCCTTTTATCCCCCTCCAGGTGGCTGGTGGGACCAATCAGGTGACATAAGAGGTGAGTCTATTGACAGGTCCAGTTTCCCTACCTGACCCCTGGGGGAGGGGAGACAAGCCCTCTCCATTTCCAAGGCCTGATTGATGGGGAAAAGGAAATCCCCCCCAATCATTTTTGAACTTTTCAAAACCTCCGGGCCAAGCTACCACCGGCTAGCCCATCACACAGAAATCCCATGAACTACCACACTTGTGTCCACAAAACCAGTAATCATCTCAAACATACCAAAAAAGCAGTAATGTACAGTCAGGCCCTCAGATATCACCATACCTGCTCTGAGAAGAACACCCATGGCACCCATTTTGGCATGCCCTTACCCAGCAAGGATACTTCAGCAGAGAAATAGACTTTATCTTTGAATCCAGATATGCAGCAGCAAGCTACTACAATACAAGAAAAAAAATTGACTTCACACCCTTAGTTGTCACTTACCATTCTAGTGCTGAACCTGTAAGAAGGACCGAACAGCTGCAGCCTATACTTGAAAAGGACTAGGCTTTTAAAAAATATCCCGAGCCTCCCTACTTCTGGCCTCCAAACAGCCCTCTAACCTTGCCCTTACATCATCAGAAGTAAACTCCCTCATGATGAATAGGCACCTAAATGGGACCCAAAATATTTGCATGGTTTTGGGGCAATATCTGATAGAGTGATGTTTGTGAAAATAAAGGCTAAACCTTTCAACATTGCAATAATACAAGTCTATGCACTGACAGCTGAAAGTGGAGGGGAGGACATTGATCATTTATATGAAGATTTTGATAAA